TTCAGGAGCAAGCGTTTCGCAAATCCAGAGTTAAAAAAAATTAAGGAAACACATAAAAAGATTGGGATTGTACTTTGTTTTAAGATTAAAAGTCTAAATAAAACATAAAAGTACAAAAAAGTTGGTTTACAAAATATCAAAATTAAATGAGGCCAAAACATTTCCAAGACAATTTTAAAGTGACTTTCATTGAACAAAAAAAAAAAAAAACTAGAAACCCTCAATTCCAATAAAGCACAATGGAACTGAACTCAACAGTGTGCAGTCAGCAAATATCTCTGAAGATCTGAGCCCAGATGTAGGGTATAAAAATAAACCAGACATAAAGATATTGATCAGATCCTTCAATGAGTTACTATGATGAGGGATTCTGGGAGTTATTTCTTACAATACCCCCAACCCACAAGACCCCCTATACACGCATTCATTTTATCCATCATTTAATCTGGAAATGACTGATTTCACTCCGACAGGCCCTGAATAACATGCTTTTGTGTGAAGGCTCTCTGAGAGGTGGTGGAATCGGATGAAATTAGACTCTCTCCTCTCTTCCTTCTCCCTCTGCATCTCCTTCCCATTCCCTGTTCCGCCTGGAAAAGCCATTGCAGAATAAAACCCCACTTCCTCCCGCAGAGGCTGCAGCCAGACATGGAGCGGTCACACATGTTCCCTCTCACTCCACATAGACGGAAACAGCTCTCCATGGTGAACATACACACATATTTGCTCACACGGCTGATCTGGTGTGTGGTTCGGTGTTAGTCTGAGGACAAATTGCATTGGGGGTTCTGGACCCAGAGCCGGCAGATTTCAGGGGATTGAAAGGAACCAGATTCATTGGCAGATGGTCAGCTATCCAGCAGTCATCATGAGGCTTCAGTCATTCTTACAAACTCATGATTTGGTTTTGTCTTTAACAAATATGTAATCGAGACTCTATTGGATGACCAATAAACCCATCAGCTCTGTCACCATCAAGTCTTTGTCATAGTATTTCATGTTTCAACAGTCTCATTATTCTTGTTGGGTTTTTTTTTTTAAAGGGGTCATATAATGCCATTTTTGTACAAGCTAATATGATTCTTTAGGGTCTAAATTAAAACTTTGTAATATACTTTAATAAAAAATTCTCATTAGTATTGTAAGAAAACACTTATTTTACCTGGTCAAAAACAGCTCTGTTTTCAGCACGCCGTTTCAGTGCATATGACTTTAAATGATCATGAGCTGCGCTCACTCCGCCCCTCTGTTCTGCGCATACACCGTTTGTAACACATTGTTCAGTATAAACGTGGGATTATGAATTATATTGAGAACGTCGTACATAGAAAACATGCCGTAATGTACCCTGAGTGTAAACCTTAGCCGCATTCATTGTGAAGCGTGCAGCTAGCGATTTGCAAAGATATACATATTAATATAAAGTTTAATAAAACGTTACACTCACTTCAGTTCTTCTGGAGATTCAGCAGGAACACGAATATCTGGTACCGATCCTTTATTCATGGCAGCTTCTTCCTTTATTCGAGCAGCTTCTTAGCAAATCCAGCTTTATACTGATCCTCGTTTATAAAGCAGTCTGGTGAGAAATGATTCGCGCAAACATGAGAGCATTGACGTTGCTCGTGGGGAATATTCCCTTCGAAAACAAACTCAGCCACTGCGTCTTCAGCGGTTCGGATTTGGGAACATTAAAATGACTGCTGTGTTCGTTATTACACCCAAGAACAGAACACCACAATCGCTTAGACGCCATTCTGCTCATAGACAGTGCTCCAGCATATCAACAATGACCGCGCCGGTCCGCGCAGACTATGATTGACAGCTCTCACGAGCGAGGGCGGGTCTGTGTTGAAACTCCTGTGCTGACTCCTGTCAATCAACAATCGTGGGAGGGGCGTCCGTTTTATTGACGTCACAAAAACGAACGGCTCAATTTGAGGCAGGGGAAAACATATAAGGAGATTAAAACAAAAACACTGGATGGATTTTTATCATTATATGATGGTTGTGTACAGGCACTGCCAACACACATTTCAGTACAATCAACTTGTAAAAGTGCATGTACCATTATATGACCCCTTTAAATCTAGCCGATAAAATCCCTTTTGATGTAGCCTAACGTTAGTATCTGGTTATCCGTCCAATGTGGTCACTACAGTCTTGTAAGCATGCAGGGCTAAATGGCTGATGTAAAAATTTAGAACATGAAACATTCGACATTGCCGTTACCATTTTTCCCATGAAACGTTGGATCAAACAGACTCCTGAGTCGTCCAATAGAACCTGAGGGAATATACTTAATTCGTATTTACATATAACGCGTTTCCCCCCTTTTGTGTGCAAGATAGTCCCTAAATGATGTGAATTCAAAACAAGAAAATTAATTTAAATACTTACAATTTACATCGCACGCAGTGTTTTACGTTTGGCTGGTAAGCCCATGTTGGTAGATGGCAGCCTAACCAGGAAAAAAGCATTTTTGTAAGTATTTTTTTATTTTTAATTTATGAGAGAGAAGTCAGTGGCAGAGAGATAAAGAGAACAGTGAAAACAGATGGACAAAAAAGCAGACAACCACAATCAGGAGGGGAAAATGTCCTTATTTGACTGATTTTAGTTAAACGGAAAAAAAAATGGTGAGTTGTGTCTCAGATGGATTTAAATAGGTCTCCACAATTTTCCAATTAAACTGAAATATGAAACACAAACTAATATTGACTTGGGCTATTTTACATTGTGGCTTAAATATATTCAATATCAAACTTAAATATATTCAACATCAAACCACACAAACGGAATTCAAACGACTGTGTATTCGACATGGCCTACGACCAGCTGGACGTGCTGATGGTGCTCAGTGAAGCACTTGGTTTTACAGGGCTCAAATCCCAGGACAAAACCTCTATAAATGAGGAATCTGAAGAATGTAGAGAACCGTGGTTGGTGTTCTTGGACAGGGTTGACAACTTTGACCCATAAAAAAACCCACATGTCTTTTTTAAAGACTATTTTTGGTCTATAAAGAGATTGATTACTTGCTAATCGTCTGCTCTCCTGATATACCGTTTAGCTTCACGTATAAAATACATGTGAAGACACAAGACACTGGAGCTGCACTGTGTTGTCCCAAAGGCTTCATCCAAGTGATAGATCTTTCTGGAGATGTTAAATGTCTCTAGATTTAATGCACACAAGATGCGTAACAGGTCAACATCTTTTTCATGAGCAGTGTCAGTATTCGAAGGGATTGAAATAATTAACTTCATATCAAAAAGTGACAGATTTGCATCACTGTACAATCTGTCGGTCCATTGTTTGTGTTATACTGAACCGACAGGCTTTGATGTGTCAGATCAGTTGCCCCGTCACCTTTCACACGTGGGAACTATTGCTGTAAAGCGGAAAAAGATGACAACATACAGCATGACTCCTAAAACTGGCTGACTGCCGTGAGTACAAGATCTGTTCAGCATTGTTACAAGGTCTGCAATTATTTTAAAGGATGCGTTAAACTTAAAGGAATATTTTGGGTTCAACACAAGTTAAACTCAGTTGACAGCATTTGTGACCATGATACCACAAATACAATTTTGACTTTGTAAGTGCCTCAATGTAACCCAGATTTCTTAAGGATGAGTGATACGTTGAAATAAATGTATGTGGTAAACAACATTACGCCACAAAGTGCTGTCGATTGAGCTTAACTTGTATGGAACCCCAAATGTTCCTTTAAAGGACCACATGAACACTTTTCATAACAGTTTTGTTTCATATGATCCATGTCTCTCATTCAACAGGATTTGTAGTAATTTGATGTTCTTTTTGCAGATTAATGTGGCCCAATATTGCAGTGCGGAGATCGATAGGCCTGCTGGACCAGCCGTGCAGCTGCGAGTGGAGTTGTTATTTCACAATTGCTTTGAGTGAGAATCTCTTGTAAATCTCCTTAGACATGCTGACATCTCTGTCACGATTACGAGTCTGGAAAAGACTCTCCGAGGCCTGGTAGAGTTGATGAAGCCTGCCATAGTCAAGAGACTGCATGATTTATGACCCCGACAGAACGGCATCAAGCCAACGATACCTGAAGCTCCTTACATATACAGTCAGTCGGACATTGATTGTGAAAACCCACCAAAATCAACACCGTAGGACAAATAAGCACCAGTGGGAATGAGATCTATGTGATAAATGGGGATCTGTCTGATAAACGGATAGGAAAGGTGGATCTGGCCGACGTATTAGACACACTCATCACCATCGCGTCTATAAAGCTGCGAGCTGTCTTGTCATAGCTGATAAATACCCTCTATTTGTCTGTCTAAATCCACACGCTGAGAGATTTAATCATTTAGCTGTGTTAAATCAATGATAGACCCGCAACAAGCCGTTCTGTGCGACCTGGGACTAAATTTAGCAGAAAAAGCACCGTCGCTAAACCTCTGACCTAAAAAAGCCATTTAAATCTTTTAAAATACTGTCAGTGGGACACAAATCAGTTCAGTGGAATGAATGGAACATTAGCAGCCATTAACTGCATATGGAGGATGTTTAAATGGCTACTTAAGGTGAACATTGGTAAAGTGGGACACTTTTTGGAAATGTAACTTTTCTGTGCACTTTTAATTAAGATCCAAATAGCATATTACCTGACATTACAGTTTAATGGAAACTTAGAATATTTCTTTAGTCAAAGGCAAACATTTCAAAATAGTAAATCCTTGGAAGAACAACAATGAAAGTAATAATTGTTATCATTAATGTATATCTATTTATTTATTTATCAACATAGGCTTAGTTAGGATCGATTTTTAAAGTCAGCTTATTTTAAAAACGTTATAAAAAGTTATTAACATTTCATTCTGTGTTCACTCTGTTGATTTCAAAATGCCTAATTTGCATCACCAGATATACCCTTGTAAATGACACCAAAATGTATCAAAAGACCGTCTCAAAATCATAAATATCAATAAAATTCACATCCCACATCATAAAACTCTGATTATTTTGTGTATTTATGCAATGACTGACAAACAAACAAATGATATCAGATCAAACTGACATTAAAATCACAGTCCAAATAAAAAAGTAAAAAGTACATGTTCTACAAAAGTAAGTGATTCTCTACAGATGAACTGCCACTTCCAGCCTCTCACTGCTGTTGTCCCTGTCCAAAACTTCACTGTTCACTCTTTCTGGACTATATCTAAATCCAGCTGTGCTCTTGGGTTGTTGGATGCTCGTACACTCTTGGTGGGACATATTTCCCTCAGCTGGTTCTGATAGCTCATTGTGTCCTTTTGAATCTCCTGGTCCACATTAGGGGCAGCCAGACTGTTGTTCTCTTCCATGGGATGTTCAACAGATGTTTCTGTGCATCCTGGGATCAGATCAGCCGATTCCCTACTGTCATCCAGTGTGGCCCGGTCAGCAGTATAGTTTAGTTTTGCTTTGATTCCTGCATGTTATTTAATCAGAGTGTCTCATTAACAGTGTTTGTCTGGATATTTCTCAGTGAAATGGATTTATTTTGGACTGACCTGAGATTTGTTCTTCACTGTCAGCATCAAGGTCTGGGGTATCAGGGGTGTCCACAAACTCCATTGCTCTTTTGCGGCTCTCCTGCTGGTGTTTGTCAGCATCATGTGGTTTACCAGCCTGGTTTTTGAGGTTCATTCTACTGGCAAAAATCTGAATTATGGCATGAATCTCTTTCATAACGTCCAGATTTTGTCTGGCTGTGTCCGCAGGGTTGTGTCTTAATATCTGGATCATTGCGGGCCGGTTTCTCCCGTTCTCCTCAGGTCTGTCCATTTCCTGACTACTTATGTCCTCCATCACTGCACGGAATTATAAGATGATGCATATATTCAGTACAAAATGCAGAAAAAGATATCCACTTTATTCAGTGAGCCAAAACTCATGACTCATTTACAGACCTTGTGAAATGGAAATTTGAGTTTTAAGGATTTTATTCCGTGTCTGTTAGCTTTATAGCTAAAATTCACATTTAGCAGAAAAACACCATTCAAATGTTTAGGTTTAGTAAATGTTTTTTTTTATAGACGTCTCTTCAAAAGTCTGCATTTATTGGATCCAAAATACAGTGAAAACTGTAAGATTGTGGAATATTATCACAATTTAAAAGACCTGTTTTTTGATAATTGATAAAACTGGCAGATTTCATCCCTTATGTAAAACTACATACCTGTTGCTTTATGGATATGTTTGTTGGAGCTCTCAGTCAAGCCTGTGTCCATGTCAGTCCTGTCCATACTCATACTCTCTATATTAAGATGCAATAAAAAATAATAATCTTTAATATTATATCACATCAGCAGATATGTGTGCAAACAGTAGCAGGGTGAGGAACTGATGGAACTATGGCTTACCTGCTGAGTTCCCATAATGCTCCTGCAATGCTTTATGGGTGTCTGTTGACAGGTGTGTGTCCGTGATGAAGTATATACACGATAGAAGTTTTAAAAAACTCAAGTTTTAGCATGGCAACAAATTGTTCACTCCAACAGTCACATGAAATCCTACAGCTTACCTGCAAGTGCGGTTCTCAGCTGTAACCTCCAGTTGACACCCTCTGAAACAAACAGTATTTTAAATCCGTTATATATCTGCACCCTAAAATATGATTATAATTTGTCTGGAGTATATAAGGAGAATTTACAAGTGTTAAAATGTTGTGATCATCTAACAGGCTAAATAAGAGTTTCATTCATGCATGCATAACTAGCATAATACAGGCCTGTACCTCTGCTGTCTTCTGCTGATGCTCTTTCAGTTAATCGGCTCTCTGTTTAAAAAAGGAAATTAAAAATAATAAACATCTAAATAATACTTTTAACTTTCGCTTTATTTAAAGACATGTTAGAGAGGTTATATGTCTTTAAAAATCCAGAGACAAAATAAAATTGAAATATCAGCTTTTTTTGTTCATAAATTGGATAGCATAAATTTTTCATTCACCTGCAGGTATTAAAAATATTAAAAATATTAATATTTATTAATATTAAAGGCCTAAAACATTATGCACATTTCTATTTATATGATTTATATATTTAAGGAACATACCAAAGTGAAACCTATTTTTTGTAAACAAATATATTTGAACAAAAAAAGTTTAAAACATACCAGCAGAGATCACAACGGTTTCTGGGGCTTCACATTCTGTAAATAGAGGAAAACAGACTCAAAAAGATGATTCAGGTCCTTTATAGATATGATACATTTAAATTTTGTTCACTTTACTTAAACATATCTGATTAGGAGTAAAAAGTATTTATATTTCATGAGTCTAACATAAAATATTTAATAGCGTCATGAAATTTATTTAAGTTTGACCAACTCAATTTAGTTAGATTTAAGCTAGAGCAGCTATTACCTAAATTAACAAACACAAAGGTCGGAATATTAGCCTAGATCTGGGTTTTTTCTTATACATGATCATGATTTCCCTGTTGCCTCTACTGTCTAATCACTCACCAGCAGTCGGATCTGTCGGATGTGCAGGATCCAGAATCCTCTCTGTTGATAGTTCCATTTCTAAGGGAAAATGGCTCTAGATCAGAAACCAATAACGAAAACGAGATGGTGCATCTCAAGGGGTTTATCCTAATAAATAAATTTGAACTGATAGCACAACTGACTGTTTTAAATTTCAAGTTCAAGATTCCCATATTCATATATAGAGGATTAATAGCACTCTTCCCTTCACTTCAATACAATAGAAAAAAAAGGTCATATACCGAAGCAACAATTCACAGACCTGAGAGCTGTGTTGGTTCAGTGTGGTCAGGAGGCAAATTCATTTCAAATGCATCTGAAGAGACATTGTGCAAAATGGGAATAAATAAGTAAAAATTTGCATGAATTTAAAAGTATTTAATACATTCATTAAACATGCTCACCATTCAAGAAACATAACAAATCATCACTTCCTTCTAAAATATAAAGTGAATATATATATATATAAAATTAGAATAATTATGTCATTATAATTTATTTTAGCATTACTATAATAGATTATAATCAAAGCAAAGCGAATATATCCTTGTTCTAAACAATCATAAAATACTATATTGTCTTAAACCTAAAACTTTGTGTAAAATCTCAAATCTATTTGTAACACAAATGAAAAGTTTACCTCTCAAAGCTGCTGAATATACAGCATTTATAAAGACTAGAACAGTCAGGGAGCTGTTGATGCTGAGCCAGGAGGGAGAACGAGAGGGAAAATTACAACATTTTCCAAATGTCAATGTAAATCAAACATAAACACATTTAATATTGTTGAACTGTCGCTCTCATCGTTCAATATCATTAATTTTAACACGGATCTTGTACTTTATGGTGGAAAATGCTGACTAAGCATATCTTGACTAAATAAACCCAAAAAGAAGAAGAAAAGAGAGTAGTGGTAACTTACAGCTTCATATTGAGTACTGATGTCCTTTCTGAAGGGCTTGTGTCATTTGTGGCTTTATATCAGTGCAGGTTGCTGATCTGGACAATAGGGTCATAGATGAGCAGTTAGACACACTGAGAAACTAGAAAAGACCTGCTTTGCTCTGAATGGCAGTTGTGTTTTATAATAACAAGGGGATGCATGGCTGAATTTACCCCATGGCATTTCCTTCCTCTCACAGAGATCCAGTGAAGGATCTTGTTTGTGCCATTGTGAAGAAATAGGAAACCTTTAGATTAAAGGCTTCTCATTTAGCTTAATTTGCCATTGTAGAGGAAAATATTTTTATAAATTGTGTTGATAAAAGTAGGATGAAGGTAAAGTGAGAGACCGTCTGATAATTTGCCATATAATATACAGATAGTTGCTATAATTTAGAATGCTTCCTCAGGCACATAGACCCACAATTTCAATCACAACATTTTACAGAAAACTTAATATAACAAAATTAAAATGCAAATGTAACAAATAATGGTTTAACCTTATCAAGGGTTAGGCTAAGGAATTGTGCACCCCCTGAAACAATGTCTATGATTACACTTTTAAGTAGGCCTACACACAATGATAAAGCAGATTTATAAAATATATAATCGAATTAATGTCCCACTGTACCTATATTAAACCAATATAGGTTATAGAATAGCTTATGTAAAAATCTTCATTTGTTGAGATGCATAATATAATAAAAAGATTGTAAAGATGAAAAAAAAAAAACACTTTCTAATATGATCACTAGATGGCAGAAAAAGCTCAAGAAACAATGTCTAACGTGTTGGAGGGATAAATTCTGCAATGCCACAAACGTGCAAAAACCCTTATCTCCAAATGAAAAGTCATCACACATATACAGAAAAGCCAAACGACAAATGAAATAAAACATAACAGCTCAAAAGGTCCTGGCACTTCAGTTCCGAACAAATTAAAAATGTGCAATTTAAATGATGCTGTTAGCTATACATTTATCTATTTATTTGTAATGTTTCTACTCATTTTAATACCGAAAAATTATGTCATTTAAAATAAGTAAAAATTGCAAACCTCAGGGAATGAGTAGTAAACGAAGCACAAATATATTTAGTGATGATCAACACTAAAGATGAAGCACTATCTGTAACACGTTATTAAACGAAATTATTATTTTCCCAATATATATAGCCTATATATGGGTTTTTTTGTAATCATACTGGCTAATACCAGTAAATTACAGGTTGAGTATTAAAAACAGCTGTAGTAACTTTCTCAAAAAAATAAAAAAAAAATAAAAAAAGAGTTTGACACTGTTGAGTCTCGCCTTAGTAGAAGAGCATTGCGGAGCTTTAAGCGAAAAATTAAACCTAGTTTTCAACGAAAGCCATTGTACGAATTGTTTTCCTTTTTTTATTGAATTCCATAGAAATGTGAGGTAGCCTCTGTTTTCCCACC